AGAGAACTGATATTCAAGAGCAAAGCCAGAGATGCTGAGAGCACGCAGCAGCCTTCTCCCAGCGTACATGTCTAATATAAAAATTCATAATTCAAAACTGCTGGGAATAACAGTTTCTGAACTAGCCACATGCTAGGGACAAGGACTGTTTGCCTCCCACCTTTCCCTCCTAAGACGCTAACACTTCCTCCTCAACACGGACCTTGCTGCCTTCCTTCCCCTCTCCTGTTTCCACATTTGGCTATGTCAAAGTCTGTTTATTCAGAGGCTGCTGAAGCACTGCAATTTTAACCAGTGGAGAATGTCACAGTTCCCAGCCAGGAACCTGTCTAAGAGCACATGAGCAAACTGCAGAGACTAATAGCTGATTGCAGATTAGAAGGCTGTTTTTGGCTTAAAATCTTGGATTTAAACTTTTCTATCAGAGAAACTGCTTTCTTCAAAGTGTTTCTGCACAGTCAAGACCTAAAAAAGCTCTTTCTGGCTTGTTTCTAAAGTGAGACTCAATGGCAATTCCAAGTCTTCCTCTCAAATGTATTTGTTTTTCCCATTTTACTTTAACAATTTAACTGTAATCTGATAAATGTCATGAGGTCTACTTAGGTTTGAGAGCTGCAGAAGTTGCCAGTCTCCAGAGCCCATTCTGTTCCTACTTGAGTTCCAGTACTATAACACTGATTAGTCAAATATCAGGACTTCAAAGAAAAAGCCTTCTGATTTTGTCATTTTCTGTGAAGTATTGTTTCTATTCTGAGTAATGCTGAAATTAAATATTGCTGCCATTCACTCTTGCCAGTACAAATGCCAAAACAAGCTGGGAGTCAATGACATCTGAGCGATGCACGCATTTGGGAAGCACGCTTTGAGCTGCAGACTTACAAGATTACCAAGAAAAACCACACCCCAAGGATATTTTGCTGCCCCAGTGAGTTTAAGTGAGTTTATGTTCTCAGAGGCATATGCCACAAGTAACTTTCCTCAAACTAAAGGCCTCATTGAAGCTGATCTATCATACTGATGCCAACAGAACCAGAACACCATACTGCTGCGTGCTTTCAGATCCAGTAGAGACAATTTTTTGTCTTCTTTTGAAGGACTGGACATCTTTGAAATTTGCTAGTCTCACAGAGAGACCAGATTTTAAGATGTAAGTGCTCTTAAGAATGCATACAGGAAACATTTTCTTTTTATTCTTAAGGACTGTTTTGAAAATAGATCTTAAGGCAGTTTTGATCTACTTCCCTTAAGTATTCTTCCATATACACCACTGATTACTTTGATCAACCCCTTTGTAATCTCTCCCCCACACTTCTTCCCAACTGGACTATGGCAAATGCATGTAAAGTTTTCTCTTTTGAAGCAAATGTCACGTTTTTGCCATGTTTTTGTTGGCTCTTACTGGCTTACTAGTGCTGCTGGACTCAGTTGTTGACTCAGAGTGAAAACAGCTTCCTATTAAAAAAAATTAACACTTTTGAAGCTGGCTATCTGTTGTACAAGCTCTGCATTGGGAATCTTGTTAATTATTCATCATTCATTAAGTCTAACTGACAGGTTTTTTAAGAAGAAATTCCAAAACAAACATGCATGCCTGTACAGTTGTTCTGCATTTCTGAAAAACTCAGATGTCTCACTTGCCAGTTTTTATTTTATTTTGGATACTAACCAAATTGATGTGAAAAATGTTACATAGGCCAGAAATCAACAGTGAGTTTTACAATGCATTGCTGGAGTTCTTATCTCAAAATAAAATCCACCTTGGAAAGCATTCTTTGCTGTTTCTTCTATAGTCCAGAACACGTTCTTCCCACATTTCCAATATTAAATAATCAGACTTCAAAGACCAATACAGATGCAAAAATCCCACTTCTACTTCAGATTTTAGAAGACTTGGAGCATTAAGAAGATTGCCCCTTCTAAGGAATGATTTTCCTCTGAGACACTGTTTTTGTCCTTACTCCTAAGCAGGCAACAGCCAGCAGACTTCAGCCAGGCCCTGGGTAGGTTAATAAGACATTTCCTGAAATTAGAGTAAGTCATGCAGACATTTGTCCAGCAGTTAGAGCAGACATAAATATGCTCTGGAATACGGAAATTCAGTGCAGAACCAGATAATCCAAATGTTCTCATTAGTGGAACAGATCCTTTCTACTTATGAATGATCTCAAACACTTTTGCCCTTATGTGATAGAGACTTCATACTGTTGTTGTGTTTGAGTTTTTAAAAATTTTTTCAAGAACATTGCAGCAAAGTTATTTACTGTTAATTTACTACTGTCTATTTACTACTCTCCTATATAGAATCCAGCAGCATCTATAGTTCAGAGGAAGAAGTGATCACAGATTAAACTTCTAAATTCTCCCCACTACAAGCTGAAACAGAATCTGACAGTCTAGAATGACATATCATTTTTAGATTCATTAAATTGCACGTGTAAACAAAGAAAATCGTAGAAAAGCACTGACCACATATTATCAGCTGATCTTAGACACATGGCTCCTTGAAATTTTCTAACACTACTGTACTGGACTGCCCCTTAAGTATTTGTATGTCAAAGGATTGTTCAAACTAGAGAAGAGGGGGCTCAGGGCAAATCTCATCTGTATACATACCTGAAGGGAGGATGAGAAAACAGCTGAAGCCTGGCTCCTCTCAGTACTGCCCAGTGGCAGGAGAGAAAAAAAATGAGCACAAGTTGAAAGGCAGGAAATCCTCTATGATTGTCAAAATGTCTTCTTTTCACTGTGATGGTGACAGAGCACTGACACAGGCTTCCCAGAGAGGTTATAGAGCCTTTATTCTTGGAGATACTCCAAAGCCATCTGGACATGGTCCTGAGCAACCAGCTCCAGGTTGCCTTGATTGAGCAGGGGGGGTGGACCAGAGGACCTCCAGAGGTCCCTTCCAACCTCAACCATTTCCATTTTGCTCCTCTGTGAAATTAGGGTTTAGGCCTTAGTCAAAAATGTCGCTTCAGAGGTGGAGGAGATTCAGGTCAGACAAAACTAGATTTCTGCTATCCATAGGCACAGATGCCTGCTGTCTAAGGTTTCCAGCTGTCTGAAACAGCCAGCTCATTTTAACCTCAATTTGATTTGTCTGACCTTGCAGCAAGGTGTTTCACTGGAAAAACACACAATCCAATTTGGATGCATAGCACAGGACACATCCACAATTAATAATATTGGCATTTCCAGAAAGGTATAAACTACTGACAAACATGGATTACCACATTACCTTAGAGGAGGTATGCTACTATCTTGACAACTCAAGATTTGTCCTCACCACAATGATCAAAGCCTTGTTTATGGATGTCCTATAAGTTTATGTCTATCAGGGGAAAACCACCAAGTTCCTGCAGATGCTTTTCTGCTGCTGCAGCCCTGCACAAGACCTGGAGGCTGATACTCTGACCACTTACACGGAATATTTCCAGAGAAGATTAGTTTTGTTCTCTCACCATAGGTTTTGACTCAAAAAAAAGGGATGTGCAATAGCACCACTATTATATTTCAAGACTAACAAGAAGCTGTATTCCTATTTAAAGGTCAAACATATTTGAACAAGATTTTGTTGTGGAAGCTGTGTAGCTTTGGCAACATAAAACTCCTTGAAGTCAATGAAAAAGTTCGCAATCTACTTCTATGTTAAAAAGTACCCCTACATTATGAAGGTACACCGTAGACCCCTTCAAATAGGCATGCTCTAAAGCCATTCTCAAAGTCTCCTAGCACACCTAGGAGACTGTATCACAAGACAGCATCAGTCTTCATCTCCAAAGTCCAGTCAGCTGACTCTACAGCATCAGAGTACCACATCTTACTGAGATCATCACATTCAAAAGAGAAAACACACCTGGATCCAAGAGTTATTGCATTGATGTCCACATTTTAACATTGATAACATTTAACATCACATTTTAACATTCATAATGTAGCCCTGACAAGCATGAGAGGAGGGAAAACATTCCTGTTAAAAAACACTGAGTCCATTTATCTTACAAATGGCTTAACATGAAGATATGCAAGCCAGGTAAGCACATCACAGGTGTCACTCCCAAAGACAAGATGTTCAGATGAGGGCTGTGCTTAGAAAGCCAGGCATCATCTTTATACAGGACTCATCAGGATGTTCACAACAAATGGATACACTCTGTTTGTAAGAGGAGCTCTACCTTACCATTTATTTGCAGTAACATTCAGTTCCCTATAAATGGAGCATAATTTGTTTTGTGTGTGCTAATCAACCAACCTGGAGAGCATAGGCCTGTATTTCCCATTTATACATAACACTGAAAGCATTTATTATTAAAGTGTATTATTGCTGCATTTCAAGGAGAGTGACGTTAAGAACAATACAAGCAATGTAGAGAAGGAGTTTACTAACATTCCTTTATGAACAGGCTTGGCATGTACCTTCAAGGAAAACTTCAACACCAGTGATTTATTTTCAGGGTGTAAATGCTTTCTAAACACAGTCCATTTACCAATTCTAGTGATATTGTCAGTGACTCAGCAGTTAGCATTATACTGAGGCATTTCATCAGTGGACAGCAGAGCAAGCAGAGATAACACACTTCTGAATACTAATATTAAAACAAATAAAGCTTTTAAAGTCACTGGCTTTCTAGGGGGGTGGGGAGAGGAAGGCCAACAAGTACACATTTGGACACAAGATAAAAAAAAACAGACAAGAGGTCAAACTCCACAATTGCTTACCCTAATTATAAAAATGGTATCAGCTCTAATAAATCAGAATAAAAAAAAAAGTGCAAAAAGCAGTTCTGGTTGAAATACCATGACTATGACCTGGTGAAGTTTAGGTTATAAACAAAACACAATGGACAACACACCCTCCCCATAAACACTAATACTGTCTAAATGGAAATCATCCCTTTTTTTATTTTTACTTCATAGCTAGAAGACCCCTGTATTTCATGGAACCAAAGTGACTAAAACAAGCCAACTACAAAAATGAGAAAGAACATCAGAAAAGTAAGTTTAGATTCAGTCAATCTCCTTTATTCAAGGAAAGGCTACACATGGACAGCTTATTAGCCTATAAGGCAACAGATCTGGCATCACTGATGTTTAAGGAAACCAATAAAACTAAAATATACAAAAATCTCACTACATGACAAATTTAAGATGATGGAACAACTGTTGAGTGACACAAAGCCTTAAGTTACTTACGCTGCCCAGAAACACTGCTTTTAAAACAGCTTCACACACAACACATGCATAATAAAGTTAAATGTTCTGTCTCCTCCAAAAGCATATGTTAATATCCAGTACTGGATAGACTACATGAAAGTTGTTTTTCATATGTGTAGAAATTATTATTTTTAATTATTACTCTCATAAAATAGCTTTTATCAGACTTACATAGAACAAGAGGCCTTATTTTCTTATATACTAATTTTTCATAAATCAAGTTTCAAGAAAGAGAGGTCAAGAAGAAAGATACATCTTCAGAGAATTAGTAAATGCGTTTGACCACAGTTATCCAGTTTGGTGTTCTGATGTTTTATGCAGCCGAGACACAAAACCAGACCACTCAGCCAGATTGTGACTGCAGTCAATTAACAAACACACTTGCCAAGCAAAATCCCAGCAAACAAAGTTAACGGATATGCTGATATGGATAGAGGTTCAGCCTCCTGGGTTTTTTTGGGGCCTAATTTTTTTCCTGAACTGTTACCAGTCCTTAACTGATAATACACTGGTTGGCAAACAAGTTTTAGAACTCTGCTCTTCAACCATTCTTCCAAAACACATCAAAACACATCAGGGACAAATTAAACCAGATCATGGAAACAAGCTGATCAGTTTTACATGCCATGATACATCACAATGACATCAGAAGAATAGAAGTGTGTACCCTTCTCACTCCAGTTTGTTTTCTAAGCAGGAGAAAAAAACAAACAATATTCTCATAGCATTAAGTAGTGAAAACACTTTGAGAAAATATCCATCTTATACATTTCTTTTTCTGTTTGTCTCCATTAGCTGCGAGGCAAGGGCATTTCACAAATACATTCATAGAAAACAGAATTCCTAATTCATATTTGAGAAGCTTACTCTATCAAGAACTATTCCATTAAACTTGATTGCTGCTCAGTTTTTCCCCCTGCAGCCTCAGCTAAGACTGTTTTCTCAGCATTAAAAATTAAGTACTCAAACAAGTGGTACACAAGACCTTAGAAGTAAACCTCAGAGCGGGAGCTGCAGAAGCACATTAAGGAGGAGTCTCATTTCAAACCAGTATGTTTTTACACTGTGTTTCCCCAGAGGCCCATGAATGGATTCCAAGTTAGTTTACACAAGGCTGCTTAACAACAAACGCCAACAAAAAACACATCTATGGGCCAAGCATTAACCACTGTGGGAAGTGCAAGAACAGCTTAGCAGTGGGCTTCCAGCTGGGCTACAAAGTGAGTAGCAGGGAATGCCTTCAGACAAGCTGTCTGACCAGCTTCCATGCAGACTCTTTGAGCTACAGGTCAGTAAGAGTCTCTGTGTCACTACAAGTCAGTATGTCACTTTGTACACTTCAAAGTCAACCTCCTTCTTGCAGGTGGTGATATGTTGTATCAGCAATCTTGACGAAAACAAACAAATAAGAAAACAAAAAAAAACCCCAAACCCACCAAAAAAGTCTCTAGAGTTGGGACCCTGCAGTATTAGAAAGACCAGAAGCACTTGCCTTTTACCGTATAGTAACATCTGAGCATCCTTTTGTGAGCCAGAACCATCTTTCACCCAGAAGCCTTTCCAATATAGCACTTGCCCAAGGATCTTACCAACTGCTTCAAAACCTATCAAATGCTTCAAAAAAGCACTCTGTCAACACACATAATACCCTTTCATAAAAGAACAGCAGTAATATTTACTTATCTTTCCCCTGAATGGAGACTCAGTATTTCTTATTTTAAAAAGCTTCTGTCTAAGGCTGCTGCTTAGCTTCCCTTCCCACTCTGGTGACCTATTGAATCTTGGCTGCTCTAGGGAAATCTCAGAAAAAAGAAGTTATGGTCTTTAACTCCCCCACCTCTGAGATACTTTGGACTTGCTAAACTCCTGCCTCTACTGGTAAGGACATTGTCTTCACAGATCTGTAGTTGGCTTTATACCTGCAAGGCTGCAGTACACTGGTAGAAAATAACGCTTTCAAAGGAAGAACACTATGCCATCCACCAATATCTCACTATCAGGTTACTCCAACTTTAATATCTTCACAATAGAGCTTTAGCCCAGATGAAAAATGTGCATATAGAGAACCCAAAAATTAGTATAGCACAAATCAAAGAACTGTCAACATTCTAGCAGGAGAAAAAAACCAAATGACTTTCCTGTCAGTAGCTTTGTTCTCTTATACACCCTGCCTATACAGCATTCCCCAACATTTTATATCCTATGCTCCTTGCATAAGAGAAAAATACCATTCTTTACTAGGGACCCCATCTGAGCATAGAGAAGCTTCCAATGAACTTGTAACCTTCAAACAAGATTCAAGCTGCACTAGGTGCTCCTAGTACACTTCCACTCATTTGGAGGAGAAGGGAAGAAACAGGATCAAATCAGTTACTGACCAAGAGCAAGTAAAGGTTTTCTTGATGTAGGTACACCTTGATTCTCTCAACACCAAACAGCTCTTGCTGTGTTCAGTCCAATCATCAGCTGTCTGAAAACTGTTCTCCTTTCCACAAGCACACAACCTGAACAGCATTCCAGTTGTTCAGGGCATTGCCTACAGGCCTTGACACACTGAGGTTTTCCCTCGATCTCTGCTGCTTTCAGCAAGAGCTGAACAGAATGGACAACATTAGTTCCTCTGTGCTCCAGTGATTGAAAGGAATAAAAATTAAAATAGGGCTAGCTACTTGTTTCAAAACATAAAGAGAAAAGATCAGAAAAACAAAGGCAGTGGTTTTATCAGCTGAGGGAGTATGGATTCTATAGTTCTAGGTCTAGTTCAGAAGCCAACCAATACATGATCCCCTTACTAGACCTAACTCAGAAATCTTATCATTAACCTTTTTTTTAGCTTCTCTGATTTTATTTCAGTCCCTCACCCCTCTTCATCTCTCCCTCCCACACACACCAGAGGCTCCCAAGACCTTATAGAGGTTAATGTAGCTGATGATATTGCCAGATGGAAGAAAAGGACTGCTGATGGATGCCAGGACTTCTCTAGCAGATTTGCACAGGGTGCCTTTATCAGCATTTCTCCCTTGACTGCAGGTTCTCATCACTGCTCTTCTCATCTGCACCCCCACAAAGAAACAGATAATAAAATTTCTCATTAAGGAGTCATCTGGACATAGCCTACAGGCACCTTCTTCATTCACAATACAGTAAGGTAGGAAGGAGGTTTAAGTGATAACAGCCATACTCATACCTGTCTCCCAGAAGACAAATCAGAAATATATTAAAGACAGCTATTTATATGCCAAAGAGCATGCAAGCATTCACTCACAAGAACACACACAGACACATCTAACATTCAATTATGTTTCCAAGAAATCTGAAATAAACTAAGGCAGTGCACTGAACTTCCAGAGACTGGTATTTACCAGTTGAACTGTGTGCACATTTTTTATTTACAGGATGTACATACAAGAGATAGCACATTACGCCATGGTAAAGATAACTAAGTTCAAGGACTATGACCCACAGTATATTGACATTAAAAAGTTTTTGTGGAAGTGACAAGCTTAATTTGTTATGGCAAATTCTTTATAGCTGAAAAATACAACTCATTTAATGCAAAAAGTGAAGAAACCTTTCCTGTATTCCTTATCGCATCAGCTAAGGCTTTTCTCCAGCTTGTAAACAAGTCCCCTTTTTAAGACAAAAACAAACTGGAAAGAATGACAACTGCAAAGGCTGAAGATCAAAGCCACAAACAGACTACAAATGAAACCAGCTTACAACTACTACACGTTCTACATTCATGCAGCTCTTAATTTACTGTTACATATAACCCTTGATGGTAAAAGCGAAACTTAAGAGTCAAGATACACATCTACACACTTTACCTAAGCACTGGTTAGTGAAGAAGCAAGGCAAAAAAAGGAAAAGCCAATTTCTTTAAATAAATAATTTTTTTCTATCAATTTCACACTGCTTCAGTACAGGTAGTTCAAGTACTAGAGATTAAAATTAAACTCATTCAGAAAATCTAGCAGAGAGATTACTGTGAAAAGAACCTTAAGTTCAACTCCTCCTACAACTACATAAAATAACTCAGGATGCAAAAACTACTAGAATCAAACTGCATGTGGTTTGTAGGTTCTGATATTTGCTAGAAATAGTCCAAGGCAAATCCTGCTTTGAAACACTACTTACTAACCTTGTGCCAAAGTCACTGCAGAAAACGTTTCAAGTTGTGCAGGCTGGCTCCGACACCAACGCCCCAGTATGTACTCACATTAAAGCAACCAAGTTACATTCCCTTTTCCCTTCGCATGTTTTAACTATTTGGCAAAAAGTATCTGTGCTCGCATCTGTTTGACACTGACGGGTTCATCCCAATGTCAAGAAGGAAACAGAACCACAGAGAGCAGCCCCCAGCCCATCACGAACGATACATACCGCGGGACGATTCTGAGCAGCGCCGTTCCGAGGGAAGCCGCCCCGGCCGTAGCAGCAGCGGCGGCAGCACCTGCCGGGCGGGCACACGCCGCGGGCGGCCCCTTCACCTTGCACCACACGCCGCGGGCTCCGCGGCCGCCCCGGCGCGGCGCAGGGCGGGGCGGGGAAGTCGCGGCCGCCCCGCGCAGCCGGGGCGCGGCTCCGCTCAACGCCGCTCCCGCCGGGCTCCTCCGGGCGCGGGGCGGCGGCGCAGGAGGAGATGGAGCAGGAAACCAGCCCCGAACGGCGGGGCGGCCACGCCGGCTCCCAGCCCGGCTAAAAATGGCCTGACAGAGGGAGCGCGCCCGCCCCTGCCGCGCCCCCGCCCCGCCGCCGGGCTCGGGCGCTGCCCGGCGCTCACGGCCGCGGCTCCCGGGGCGGCCCGCGGGCTGTGCGGGCTCCCGAGCCGTGCGGGGCCGCCCCGCACGGAGTCCCGCCGCAGTGGGTTATTTTTGGAAGCTCCCCCCGCCCCCCGCTCCCGGCTCTGCGGCGTCACAGCCGCTCCCGCCGTGCGGAGCGGGGAGGTCACGCCTTTCCCGGCGCGGGGCCCCCGCGGGCGCTCGGAGCCCGCACCCGCCGCGCTCCCCGCGGCCGCCCGGAGCGCCCCCGCCCCGCCGCGCACGCCGAGCCCCGCACGGCGGCACCGCGGGGAAGGAGAAGCGGCGGGCAGACGGAGCGATCGGAGATTCATGCACCATTTCTAGCGCAAGTGGAAGACGGCTGAAGCTGGCTGGTTTACTGCTGCGTTAGCAGTTTCATCTGCGGACTGCGCGATTATGCTACAATTGCCAAAGCACAGTGATAAGTAACACTAAATAAAGTTTCCTCTAGAGAGCATAAAGTGCGTTCACTGTGGTTATCCTTACTGAAGTGAGGAGCCTCTCCTCATAAGTCAAGCAGTAGCTTCTGGTATGCTGACAATTTAAATTAGAGGGAAAAAGAATTCTCCTTAAAGAGGAAAGATAGAAAGGCACCAGGCTTGAGAAAACATTAATTTTAGAGATAACTGGATTTCATGGGACATACACAATACGACTGCAAGGTTATAAATATATTGCTTTTCAAATGCCAACAAAACTACAGTCTTGAAATCAACCCTGAGCAGCAAAAAACCAGGGCCCTGACTTATAAAGGACAACAAAGCCAAATGCTGTGGGTTTAAGAACAGTAATGATCAATGAGTGCAGCTTCTTGGAAAGCTGCAAGTCTTAGGAAGAGATGATGGCATTTTAAAAAGCCTGCACTATATTTCTGAGCTTAGTAGTTTGAAGTTTAAAAATACCAAGAAAAAAAATTCTCCAGGATCACATCTTCTCCCTGTCATGACCAACTGATTTCACTAGCTATGGTGGAAAAACAAGTTCACACCTCAGCCTATCCCTCTGTGCCCAAATCTATGTGCTTCCAGATTAAAATAAGGCCTCTATTACACCTACAGAGACTATTCAAGTTCAAGTAAGGTGACATTACAATTTCACCATATGTTTTGCCATACACCACTCTGGAAAGCTATTTTAGTCTGGCTTGAAGCAAGATGCCAACACAATTAAGGAATACTAACTAACACTATACACCCACTGTTGTAACAATTTCCCCCTCATCCGCAAGTGAAGCTGGCAACTTTAATATCAGACTTTCTTAAGGAAAAAACTCAATGTGAAAAAAAAAGCAATGGTTGTTCCACTCTGCTAGAACTTAAGTAAGTCTAAAAGACTCGTGACTGGAAACAAAGGACTTGGAAAGGAATGAAAAAAAACCAAACCTAGACAATGGAGCCAGTGTTTGTAGCTCACTGTTAAATAACTGGAAGACAAGCAGCACCAACACAAACCTCATTCTGGAACACAGCTTACTGAAGTCAGTAGAGTAAGAGCCTAACCCAGGGATTATAGTTACCACAGTACAGGAAGACAAGCTTATTCCATGGTACTAGGGTGTTGTCAAGAAGGAAGAAAAACAGCAGCTCTCCCTACTCTAGGAACTAGTGAATTTCACATATATTCCCAAATTGAAGTGTTTGCATTATGTTTAACACTATACAAGATATTTGTTACTGGGAAAGCCAGAAGTTCAACAAATAGCATTTGCACACCCACCAAGCACATGGTCTGAAAAACAAATTCAGAAGCAATATTGTTCAACACTTCAGTTAGCTAGCACAAACTAAAAAAAAAAATCCAAAACCTAATTTTCTCAATATTTTGACCTTCAAATCAGCAAAGCAACAGCTTTATTGAATTCAAGCATTCAGTTTGAACATTGCAAGCAATAGCTTGTAACCAAAATGTCTCTTTTCTGAACACCCAAATACTAAGACATCCTTTTGCAAAGGCATATACCTAGTCTTTCTCTAGAAGAATAAATTTTTGTCTCATTCAGTATGCAAAAGGACAGCTTATCAGCAACATGAAGTGGTATGGGTTTGTGTATTTATTTTTGTAACAGGTAAACAGGGAACTAGACAAATATGCTAAGCTGTTAAACCCTTTATAGCCCCAAGCAGCACAATACATACCCCTTCTTGCTTTGTGAACAGGTTAAGGCACTCAGCCAGAGCCTCACACGTTTCCTGGGATACTTCAGAGACCACATCAACTTTCTGCAGGAGGGGAGAAGATATTCCTGAAAGCACAAAAATATTAGTAATGTTAGAAGGACATTGTAAATGTCAGGATTCTTGTAATTATTTTTTCCTCTAAGTAATACAGACATAACATTCACATGTTACAGGAAGGCTGGTGCATTGCAAGATCTGTGGGAGGGTTTTTTTTGCATCCTTTCCCTACTGGTATAAGAGGCACATGAATAGATTGAGTTTCTCTTTCAGCATGGTTTAGAAAGCAGAGGCAGTAAGCCATGGCAGCAGGACAGTGGGAAAGGAACTAGCAACAAACTCCTTTTAACCACTTTCTACATTTTAAAGCTTCAGGTGACAGAATTTAAATAAAAAGGATTCTGCACTGGTTTACTATAAATAGAAGTGCAAAATGTAGATTTTTTGCCTTCTGCCATGTATTACATAGAAGAGAAAGAGCTTACCACAGTGCTCAGTGCAGCTGAAAATTTAGGTTTGAGAAAAATAGATTGAATTGTAACTACAAGCACAATGAACAATTAAAGGGGAAGACCTTATTTTCATGGACTCGTGTAAGTAGTACAGCTTGTCATGTCACATCCTGACTTCTATGACCATTTACAGAAGGAACTGCATGTCTAGAACCAGCAGGAAACCATAACTCAATCAGCTGGTAGAAATGATTGGAGTCAATCTGTGAAGTTTTCTGAGGTGCAGCAATTCCTTGGAAATCAAGTAAGTAATTTTCTCAGGAAGCATAGTTGTTGCAATTAAAATAATTGCAACATTTAGTGCCTGCAGACTCCAGGATCAGTTGACACCATTTAGTAACACAGGTGCTTCAAGCTGATGTCACACCATTGAAGATTAAGAGGTCCATCAGTGACAGTACCTGAGTTTATTTTTCAACTTATACTGCTTATGCTGGACAAGATACAGTACATTTCCACACACTAATTGTGGTCTCTGAAACCAGAGCTCACCACTGACTCA